GAACTCAGACTGATGAATGTTCAGACAAGTCAGAGTGGAGACTACAGCTGTCAGGCCTTTAACAGCAAAACTCTGAGATATCAAACGTCTCAACGTTTATCTATATCCATCATTGGTAAGTCTTTTTTGTAAATAAGTGGTAATCATCTTTTCACCTTCTCAACTATTATGAATGCTGAAGAAAAGAAAAGAAAAGAAAAGAAAGGAAAAGAAAAGAAAAGAAGAGAAAAGAAAAGAAAAGAAAAGAACAGAAAAGAAAAGAAAAGAAAAGAAAAGAAAAGAAAAGAAAACATGTACAGACTGTAGAAAATACTGAACTGCTGTTTTGGTTTCTGGTTGCCATTTATATAAGCATATTGAGTTTTTATAATCCCTACAGAACATCATATTTTTGCCATGAAACAAAAATTTTAATGTTAATTGAAGGAAAACATGAAAAGAATCCTGACAAGCATTATGTATTTTACACAAATACTAAAAGACGTTGGAAATGGACTTTAATAATCATATTCCATATTTTCAGCATTGATGAGAAAACATTTTTTGTTTGTTTGTTCAGAGGCTCTTGGATATATAAGCATATACAGATATGCCAAGCTCATTAGTAGATCATATGCAGAATACTACTTTTCCTGTCTGAAACGTTTATTTGTCCTTTTTAGTTTTAAATTGTTTCTTCCTCATTTTCCTTTTTTTGGTGAAATTTTTAAAAGTGTTAACTAAGCAGTTGAAGAGACTTATTTTACTTTGTAATGACAAGTTTTGATTTTGACAATAAGTTTGTTTGAAATATATTTTGTATATTTATAACCATTTCTTTATTTTTGTCCATTTTAGAAAACAACCCSACTTCAGGTTTATCTCCAGGAGCCATCGCTGGAATAGTAATYGCATGTTTGGTTGTTGTTGGTGCAGCTGCTGGTGGAGTGTACTACTGTGTTAGGAAAAAACAAAACAAAAAGAAAAATAATAACTAATTGTGAGCAAGCATTTTTTACATTTTTATTTATTTATTAATCATAATCTTACAATTTTTAAGAGTAAGACATTATAGCTGTAAAACAAAAATTTGTTTCACTAAATAATTGTTTGGTAAGGCCCTGTGACCCTAGACAACTTATGCCAACTTATGACACATATTTTATGTCTAAATTGCTGATAATAGTTACATATTGGATCAATTTATTAGAACTACATTATGTACAAGCCTAAAAATACTTCTTGTTGATTTTTTCAATTTTATCTTCAACGTAGAAGTTTTTAAATTTTTGATAAGTTGACATACGCTGTCTAGTGTGACAGTGCCTTTAATGTTTATG